GTGTGTGTGTGTGTGCACAGCTCCGTCACAGCTGGGTGGGACAGGTGATTCGTCTGACTTGTGGCTCCCAAGGCAAAGCCTCACCCCTGCAAGTGATGCACCAAACAAGCCTTGGACAGAGGCGGCACAGGAGCTGCACAGGCTGTTCCCTTCATTTAGCAGCTACTGGTGCTGCAGCAGCTCCTGCTGACACCACAGCTCTGTGAGCACAGCAGCTTCCACCTGTGCCTGCCCAAGACAGCCAGGGAGAAACAGCCAAGGGGAAGGGAGAACTTGCGAAATAACGTCCTGCAGAGTTGCAGGGCCCTGGCTGGGGCCAGGGCCTGCTCTGCCCATGGCTGGGGGGGGTGGGAGTGACCCACTGTCCCAATCTGCAACCAGTGCTCTCCTGCTCCTCTGTCAGGCTCTGCAGCACAAGGATGTTCAGGGACTTAGAGCTGTGCTGTCTGTAGGTTGCTGGATGACAGGCACAGGGAACTGCAGGATCCCTGACCAGTGCTGAAACAACAGTTCAGCACCCACACAGTGTCTGTGAGTGTTACCAGCTGTGACAGAGCGGCTGAGCACACACAGTGTCCCAGCACCGCCAGGCTCTGCTGCCTCTGCAGGGTGACGTGGTGAAAGCTCAGTGCCTCCAGCCCCAGGAACCTGTTGGCAGTGGATTTTTCACTTGCCCTGGGGCTCAGTCCATGTTAGCCAGTGTGTCAGGGCTCTCTGTCAGAGCCCCTCGGGCAGAACAGTGACCTGGGGCCCTCGGGGGCTCTCAGGGGACTGGACAGGACCTGAGGTGTCCTGGATTAATGCAGGATCCTGTTTGGCAGCTGCTGATTCCTTCCCTGGCAGCACAACCTGCCTGTGCCTGCCCGGCCCCAGCAGCTATGCCGTGAGCTCAGCACAGCTCTGCCCTTGGACCCTCCCTGGACCTGACAGAGGTGTCTGGTTCTGCAGCTCCTGCACGGGCAGACACTCCCATCACTGCTCGGGGCAGCAGAGCTCTCTGCAGAGAGCTGGGGACACCTCAGGCACCTCCTGGCACCACTGGCCCTGGAGCAAAGAGCAGTGATGGCTCCAACCAGCCCTGATCCAGCAGTGCCAGGGTGCGGCCTGGAGTCTGTCCCTGCTCTGCACTTATCAGCGGTACCTGCACGTGCAGGAGGTGCAGCACAGCACCCATGGAGCCCTGGCACAGACAGCACAGCCAGCAGAGCCAGGAGAAGCAACACAAACAGCACAGGCAGCACAAACAGCACAGCTCCACAGCTGCTGCTCCCTGCCCGAGGTGTCCTCCCAGCAGCAAAGACCCCCCAGGCAGCATGTGCACACTCTGAGTTGTGCTGGAGCCACAGGCAGAGCTGAGATAGGATTTCCCTGACCAGACTCAGATCTCTCTGTATCCCCTGCAGAACTGTGTGCTCTGAGGTGGAGCCTCATGATGGGCCCTGCCTGGTCTGGGGGTGGACAAGGAGACCGCACCTGTCTCGAGTGTCTCTGTATGACCCTTTGGGGGCTCAGTGCTGGACACGGTAGGGTCCCGGCACAGGGCTCAGAAAAGTCCTGTCAGGACTGGTGGTGGTGCGGGCACGAGGTGCACAGGGTCCCGGCAGGGCTCGGTCCGGTCCCGGTGGGGCTCGGTCCGGTCCCGGTGGG